ACCCTTCTAAGGCTGGGAAATTAAATTTATTTCAGATACACGCAAACACGCCATTCACCCCCGATTTTAGAACCAATACATACACGTTAGTAAGCATTATCCATCCCCGACCAGAGGGTGGCGGTGATGCGTTAATAAAGAAACAGGATGAAAAAGAAGAAGAGTCTAGAAGTAGAAGAAGAGGACGAACACGTGATTCGCGCTAACTGGAAGCAAGATGGCGGTGGCAGTGCGGAGCTTGCAAGACCAGCTAGAAAAAGCCAAGGAAAGTTTGAAGCATGTGGACGATAATATTCGTAAACTGACCGGACGTGATCCTAATGAATCAAGGTAAAAAGCTTAACTGGTTATTTAGTTTTTTAGCGAGTTCCTGGAGTGAAGCTGAAGAGCTGTACTCACTCGACGCGTGCTAAGTTAGCGTGGGTCGGCTAACCTGCAAACAGCACCGCCTCCTTGTTTTGTGTCGCACATATAATGTTTTTACCATCCTAATTTATTCGCATCAAACGAATAAAAATGAACCAAATTAGTAACTTATTTAAATATTGAATTGGAACATTAAATCTGGTAGATGAACAGAGTCGAGGCCCTGCAGGAGGCGTCGTCCGGGCGGCAAATCACTTTGTCTTGCTTAATAATACAACGGTTCTGCAACAACACAAACGCATAATGTTAACGTGAGTCTTATTTGTCAGACTGTATTCTTTCTTTTGTGTTAACCTCGGTGTCTGCTGTGCTTGCAGGCCGGGTCAGATCCGTCGACTTGGCGGCCCCATGGCAGGCCCTGGAGGAGGTGGTAGAGGCAGAGGAATAAACCTGCTCAGGTAAATCTTTGCGCCAATCTTTAACCCATCTCGGAAAAAAAGAGCTTTAGTTTAGATTTTCAACTTTAGTGTGTGATCTGAAAAGTATGTACAACAGTTGGAGATAAATGTTAATCACATTTGTCTATGATGTTTTTATCATTCAGTCTGTAAAGGAACCACTGGTGTTTCAGTTAAATGTTCAAAGAGGGTTTGAAAACGGTTGTTTTTGTCTTGATGCATGCTCAATCGTCCAAGTAATTAAATCCCAGGAAGTTGATTGTTCATCAGGGCGTTGTTTTTAGTGGGCGAAACTTTTGGCCGCTCATTCAAGTGACTTAATATGCAAAGTGCTATGACCACTTAAGGACAATGAAACGACCTCGGGGCCCATTGTTGGTCCTTAACGGTAGTTTCGATCATTATGCAAATAAACAGTTTAAAAGGTTGGGGAAACCTATGGTCAGCTCAGTCTGAGCTCAGTCACTTGGATGAGTGAAGCATTTCTCCGACTGAAAACGACACGTCCAGATGAACAGAATCAGCTTTCTTGGAGTTTCTTTGTGTCTCTCCAAAAAAAGGTAGAATAAATTATTTCGTTTAAATTTTATTTAAAAATTCAGTCTGTGCATTTCTAAAGTTTTCCTCTTTGTCCTCTCACAGACGCAGTCTCTCAGACATGGGAAGCGGCGGCCCTCCTGCCAAGCAAAGGGACATCGAAGGAGCCCTGCTAAGGTGAGATCTCAACTTGAAATATAATATAGTGATTGGGTAGTTTCTAGTTTTGGAGCTTGTGTAACACATTTTACCTGAAACTCTTCATTAATATTAAGATTATTTAACAAGTGTAAGAAAATATGGTTCTTGTTGGAGGGGGGGGGGTATTTCTACACATGTGAGGCATTATTTTTAATTAATTCTCAGCTTTCTGTAAGTTTTTTTCCTTGTCTTGATTTCAAAGTACCATCTCTTATGAGTATTTGATCTTTGTGTGGCTGCAGGCTGGCAGGGGACCAGAGGGCCAGGAGGGACATGCGTCACGACAGCGACGC